ACAAAAAACCAAGTTGTTTTCAAAAACAAGACAGTATCAATCATAGAGCTCCTGCTGGATTTTTCACTTTTATTTAAGCAGCAGAGAAGACATTAAACAGCAGCGAGTAGCAGTGACTAAGGTACCACTGCAATTTTGCATTTGTGCCAGATACTGGTAACATGTCTGGAGCTGCAGTGCTCAAAAGCCATGTTCAGGAGTAAGCCGTTATCACCTGAGGGCACCTCAAGCAAAGGTGGTGTTGTTCCAGCCTACATTGCCAGCGCTGATCTCAAAGAAGCTGACATAGATTCTGAAAGGAAAGACAGACACAGTTAGCTGCTGAGCACAGAGCAGCCAGGGTGTTCCTGCCACAGGGCAGGGGCTTCCCACTTCTCAGGCCCGTGCTACAGCTCAGCAAGTTACAATTTCCTTTTGCAAGTTCTGGCAGGCACGTTTGAGCATTGCGTGTTGTCATCATACTTGCATTCTGGGTTTCATGGTATTTTTCCAATTCTTGTTTTAGGGAGATCTCAGGATGCTGTATTTTATTTACAGTCATTTCTGGAACAGATTGGTACACCACCTTCAGGAAAAGGACTATAAATGCTTTTATAAGTGGAAGCTTTTGTAATAGACCTCCACATGTACTCCACAGGCAGTAGAGTAACATATACCAGAATTTCCCAAGTTATCAAGTTATTGTGTCTGTACCTGGCTCTTGCACATACGTGCAGTGCCTGAGTCTCCATCATTTTAACTAAAATAAATTTTACTGCTTCTGGGCATTGGCTTTGCAGCTCATGCAATTGCTCCTTTCCTCTTTTTAATTGGAGAGTTGCTCTATTGACTTGGCATTTAGCCTCTTCAAGTAGAATGTTAATAGAGGAGCACCAAAAGGACAAGCCTGGGATTAATAGCTTTAACAATGTGTGGAAAGTCACATCAGACAAGTTGCTGTACAAGCTCACCTGTCAGATGGTATTTTCAGCTGTTTGTTCAGCAAGTCACAAAGCAATTTGGAGTAGACCTTGTTCTCTTGCTCCCCTATCTTGCCGATGCTGTAGAGAAAGCACATAGCACAGGGGTCTGCAGAGCCACCAAAGGACATCAGCTGGTCAGGAGATACCTGTATTGCTAGATACTGTTAGAAGAAGAAAAGATTATTACTCTCCTTTGCCATGTTAGGAAGACTTTTGAAAATCCAGGAAGGTATTTTGACTGTCGTTTATGTACACAAATAGGTGCATGCCTGTCAGTTACACTTTTGAAATTCTCCTGTGTGTACTACATCGCACTTTCAAACTTCCTAAACATTTTCCTGCAAGTCACAGAGATGAAAAGGTATGAAATCCAATCACATTCCCATTAAATACCATTTGGGAACAGGCACTGCCATCACAAATTCTTTCATCTATTGCAGAATGGCTGTATTCTTAACTAAAAGTACTAACAGCACATAATTAAAAAAAAAAAAAAAAAAAGCACTGCCAGGCACTTAAAGGTACTCCTCAGCACTTACCAAAATGCAAATAGTTTCATTCGTGTTCTTAAGTTACTCTGTGGTAAAGATCCTTCCCTGTCTGCTGTCTTGCAATCTTCAACACCAGCGTGCCCAATTACATACAGAAAGATAGGCTCTGGGTGCACAGCCCAGGTACACTGTTGGAAGGAGGACCCTGCAGTATTGACTTTGAATTTTGGGTAGAATGTTCAGGTGCTGAGAGCACCAAGAGCTCGGTGACCTGTGGCACCTACAGAACCTCCTGAGCCACCGGGCTCTCCATGCCCGTGTGGGGAGGCTGGGTGCCAGTGGGGGTGGGCAATTGCATTGCTGCCGCCCTACGTTCCAGAGGGATTTTGCACCTCACTGGCTCCTGCTGCAGTCTTCCCTGCTGAGGTAAATGTGAACTGACACAGCAGAGGACTAAATCAACATCCCCTTCATTAAACAAAATACAGCCTAATCCTACTTTTGTCCTTGACAGCAAGAAAAATAGAAGAAAGTATCTATGTTAATGACCAGCCTGCAATTTTCCCTGCTGCTAATACACAGTGTCAGATCCACACACTGGGGAATCCAGGGATCAGTTCCTTTGGCATTCATCTGGCTTCTGTTCTTACCCACGTTTATTAGCAGCGCATCATTGGAACTCAGCAGCAATTAACCCTCTTGGTAAAACAAGCTAGCCTGAGTACCAGGAGTTGTCTGGGTAATTAGCCTTGGCCATCATTTACAGCTTGTTTGGGTACATGGTGCATCAGACCACAGCAGTATAGGATAAGCCAAAGAGATCCTGCTGAAGTACCACTTGCTTGGCTCTGTTCTCCCCTGGCTGGACACCCTGTTCTCTCAACTTTATGCTATATGTAGGCACATGTATACCTTTAACATCTACCCTGGAAGCAGATTATTATTATTTTAAAAAATAATAATAAATCAAACTGAAGTGTTAGTCAGCATTATTTTCTTTTTAGAGCTGTTTGAAGTGTTTCTTTCCCCAGTGGAAACAAACCTATTTGATTAAAAGTAAAAATCAGTATTTTTTTTTCCAAATTGTACCATTTCCTGCGAGATGAAAGCTCTACATTCCAGCCCATCCTAATCCTTCCCTTCTTTCTGTGTTATAACTAAGAGACTATCCCTTTATTCTTGCCTCCTTTGTCACGAAGAGCCTGCATGTCCTCTTCAAAAAAATCTCTTTGTTCTTCCCTGTATACTTCTAAGTCCCATTACGTATCCCTTCCCTTCCACACTGCTGCACAAACCTGTTCCAGCTGCATCCCAGCCCTGGCCTCTAGCTTTATATTCAGGAGCTGTTATGCAAGAACCACCAGCTGACACACCAATATCCCCCCCAACCCCTCCTCAACAGCAAGTACTTGTTTGCTAGATTGATAAAAAAATGTTTTTTTGAAGAGGAATAGATCACTTTTACATAAGAATTTCATTATATTACTGCATGTGTTGTAAAAAAAAAATACTCCCATTTACAGTTAAGCCTGCTTTCTGCAGAGACAAGGCTTATACAAGCTTAAAACATGTTTCTAACTATTCCCTGAGATTTTAACGCTGGTCAAATTTGGCAGAGATTGAATTCCTACATGTTTAATGAGACTGGTTGATTGCATAGAGCTCCATTACTGCCCCTAGAGAAAGAGGGGCCCTTTTATCAGGCAAACAGTTGCCTGGAGGAGGCACAGCAGAACCAGGCTTCTCCAGGTTGATTGGCTTTTTAACTCTACATCAAATCAGTTTGATGAAAATATCCAGCTTCATACAACTGTCTTTGAATGTATACAGCCATACAACAAATAGAAATATTCTAACTATCAGTGCTGAACAATTTCTAATTGGCCAAAGAAATGTCAGTACTATTAACCTCCAAGAGCTAGTTGAAATCTTACTGCAAGCGAAGCTGGCTTCTTCCTGCCTTATGCCTCTGAGGAAAGAGAAAAAAAAATAATGTTCCCATCTCTTCCCTAACAACCTCCCTCTTCAGCCTTCTCTCCTAGAAGAGCCAGAATGTCTGTTGATCCTTGCATTATCCTGGTTTTTTTAGGATTTTTCATTTGGTACGTCTCTGATCTGTCTACCACTTTCTCAAAGTCAAGGGCCTGAGGCTGGATGGAGTACTCCTGCTGAGGCTTACTTCTACCTTGTGTGCAACAGAAGTGAAATTCCCCTGTTCCAAAGCATTGTCTTAACTCTTTTTCATGTTGTAACCCATAATAGCTCCCCAAATCCTTTCATCTTTAATGAATTACTATTGTCTTTTGTGTAGCTTGACTTATTAATCACCTATTAAAAGAAAGCTTCTTGACTTGAGAAGATACTGTATTCTTGAATACTTACTGTCTTCTGTGCATACAAGCTATTGTCACCTGCACATCTCAGTCTACAGAGTCATTACTGGAAGTGTTGACTAGGTCTGAGCATAAGACACTACTGTGGGACTATTTAAAATGATCTTGACTTTCACAAAACCACACCAGCTGCTCACAGTTTTCTTCCTACCATTTTTAAGACATTGCAACGTTTCTCCTAATATTTTCAGCTGTCCAACTTGTTTAACTTTGAGTCTATTTTTCATCTTCTTCCTTTCTCAGGACACTTCCATCAGTGACAGTCATCCAACAACTGTAAGGGGTTCAGAGATCTCTGATGCCATCTTAAGTAGTCAGGGGTGACTACCATTTCAGAGCACTTTGTTTCCTTGAAGAACAAAGATCTGCTCAAGAACTTCAGGTGTCCCAGTGGGCAGGTGAATATTTGCTGAGAAGCCCTCAAAATCCTCTCTGTAGGCACCAGATCTTAATTCTTTCCAGGGTTTCAAAGCATCACTCCTAAAGTAAAATAAGGAACATTTTTCTGAAAACACTGTTTTGCTAGTGAATACATAGAAGAGAACTTCACCAAGCCACAAAAAAAAAAAAAATCTATAACTGATTCACATAAGTTACTGCTGCTAGAGCAACTGAGTAGCTCATGTTATGAAGCTTACAGCTCTACAGAGAAGCTTTCACTTTGTTTTTCATATTCATCAGGAGTCTTCAGTAAACAACTGATACAGTGACTAGTGACCTTCCAGGATTAACTAAGAAAACAGAAGCCTTATAAGACCCTTAATGACAGTATTTCAGTACTTAACCTCAGTAGCATATTGCCACAGTTTTAGCAGGTAAAAAGCCCCTAGTTTGGTAATGAAACCAGCAGACGGATTTTACTCTAATACTTTGAGTAAAACTAGCAGGACATCACAGAAGTACTTTTGCTAGATGTCCAAGCAACCTGAATGCTTTGATTTTTTGTTCAGCTGTAACCAGTAGGCTATAGGCAATTTGGTAGCAGATAATAAGCACATATTCAGCAGGACCCAGCAAGGAACTCAGAAGGGGAGGCTGCTTTTGGTCAGCAAGATTCTTGTGAGGTATTCACAGAGATACCTGTGTATACATACCCACGCACATCCAGTGTCTCAACATACACAGAGCCCTACACGGAATACTGTCATACACAAAACTAGTTTAAGTATTTTAAGTGTTTTGAGACCTCAACAGACCTAAATTACAGCAAATAAGTATTTGATGTTTGTGCAGAGAGAAGACTAAGTACCGGTGAGTCATTGAGTATATCAGTTTGTATAAGCTATCACTGAGAAATAGCTCATTGTATAGGCTGACTAAAAAAAGAAAAGATTTGAGCACCTGGACTTACCTGTGCTGGTTTGCCCATTGCTTTTGATAACTGCTGGGTGAGCTCCCCTGTGAGAGACTCTGGCACTTTATCCTTGCTTATATTTGTGTTAACAATGAACTTCGGCATCGTTAGATCCCGAGCAGGTTTCTCTTTAAGCTCACCTCGTTCACAGCTTTGCTTCTAACTCACCCACAAAGCAGCTTACCCCACTGTGCTAGTAAGCACCTCTGGAGCCTTTAAATAGTCAGTGGTACCTTCCTCAGGTGCACCTGAGGGGTGGGAGTTCCTCTGGGAGAGGGGAGGCTGCCCGTGCCATCTGCTGGCTGCTAACGCAGATAACCAGTGTCCAGCTTTCCTAGGGGGGAAAGCTGGCTTTGCACTCTGGAAATCAAAGCATCCGAAACGACACCTCATATTTGGGTACAGCCTGATCGTGAAAAACAGTGAAAAAGCAAGTGTTTCAGGGACTGTTTGAAAGTGGGAGAAATATGATGTGCCTCTTTATGCAAGTCTTATAATTATTAAAAAAAATTTAGACGTATGTCTCACTTGTGAGGTCTGGGGCTCATTCTGTGGAATAGACCATAACAGAAAAATCCAAGTAGCACATGTTGTGGAGACCTTCCCTGAACTATGACTAAGTCATGACAAAGATGCCTTAAAATCGGGGTCTTGATTTTCTACTGTGGTGAGCACTGGAGGCTTGTTTTCAACTTGCTCCTTTGTTGTGCAAATAGTCCTATAACAGTCAACAGGATCTCCGGAGAGATAGGAAATCCACAGGCTTTCCTAAAATGAGAGGCTTTTTTCCAGAGTGGAGTATGTGGCAGAGCTGGGATCAGTTCTCTTTGCTACCTAGTAGAGTCTTCCACGGGACAAGTGATTTAGAGGGGTCATATGGCATTTGGTAGGGGGTGTTCGTGGTGAGATGCGTGTGGGGAAAGCAGGTTGAAAATGCTAATGGTGATAAAATAAATGGTTTGTTAATCTCTGCATGTTAGAGGTGATGAGTCTCTTTATGCCCGTTAGTTTCTATGAGTTAAGGACTTTTCTACTCACTCCTTTTTCCAGCCTGTGGAAAAGAGGGAGAGCTTTATATAGCTTGAGCTAAAGGCTTGTACTGCAACTGTATAGTTTAAACAAATATTTTTAAATGGTGAAAACCTCCATATGAACATCTTAAGTTGACTGTATGGTGTATCTTGATTTTAAATCAGTTCCTTCCCTGTAGCACCCTTACTGTAAAAAGGATTGCCAAAAAGCAAATAAGAAGTCAGAAGATTACTATATGCCAGTGTTCACCTTCAGCCCATGTTAGAGGATTGAGTGTCCTGTATCCTGCATTCTGAAAATAATGAAAACCCTGAAAAAAAAAAATCCAGAAATAATATCTGTTTGTACAAACAGTCCTTTCAGGGCATGTTTCCCATGTCAAAGCATAAAACTCAAGTGAAATCCATAAGGAGAGGAATTGCTGTTTGTAATATTGATGAATCTTTCCTTCAGTGATCAGTTGAAAGCAGGTGGCATGATCCAAAGCATTTAGTCAGAAATTGTTAGTGGTCACTTGGAAAAACTTAGACTGTTTTTCTAATGAACTTCACAACCTATTTTTGCTGCTGGATAAAATAATCACTTGTTATTCGCAGCTTGCTTACATAACAAGAAAAACATTTCCAAAACAAACTCTTTCTTCTCTGAAAACATCTGATGTAATTCCCAGAAGCTGATGTACCAGGTTGGAAATCAGATCCTTAGACACCACAGATGCTCTTGGGAATGTGCTTTATTTCATAGCAGCCATTTTACTTCTTTGCATATAATAATGTCTCTGTTTGGTGGGTCCTTCTCCCTGCCTAGAGTTACTAGGTGTTCTCCACCGAGATTCCTATTACATCGCCAGAAGGATTGTTGGACAGTACAATTTCCATTTCAATATTTTTTTGTTCTATTATCATGACTGGAACATTTCCCCCTAATTTACTGTGCTAAGTTTTGAATCTGTATCTGCTTGGATCCCCCTAAATCACATATCTGGCTGTTCCTCTATCAGCCTGCTAGGCAAATATTTTAGACTTCTGTGTTTCCCCAGCCTCATGACTGATGATCATTTAGCCTTCTTAATCTTTCCTTCCCTTGGTTTGCCACCTTTAATTATTTCACTTGGTTCTCCATATTTCTGGTACTCTTCTCTGAGCTATTTGTCAGCGGTTTCCTGATTATGAGGTGCTTAGAGCTAGTGAGGTCTCATTTAGGAAAGCTCAATAACGAACTGTTGGGGTACCTGTGGCGTTGGGCAGGACTCCTGGAAACAAGGGACACCAACTGAGGTCCAGGGTTGTGGGTCCAGAGCTCTGAGCAGAGCCTCTATGTATGTTCTAGCAGGATTTGGGCCCTATGGACTGTTAACAAAATGTTTTAAAACTTCGTAAGCTACACTATCATAAAAAGATTTTTTTAATAGAAAAAAATAATATCTCTTTATATCCAGTAGGTCTTAAAACCAAGTGGTGAAATTTCCTGTGAAAATGTTTTGATATCATCCAGAAATAAAACTCTAGTATAATGACTTTCATATCTGTATATAAAAAAAAAAAGAAAAAAAAAAAAAGAAAACCGGAATAAGACACAGAAGAGCTTGCAGTCTGTTTTTAATGTTTCCTTTTTAGTTCTTCTGCAACATTGTTTCCTGTGTTTTCTAAGAGATGCAAATTTTTCCTCTGAACATTCATAGTTTGGTGCAGAACAACTGCTCCTTAGGAAACTTATTTTCAGTGACTGAGATTTCCTTTTTCCCGAAGTTCAGCTTGTTGAACTCTGCTTTTATTTCCATGATTGACTTTCCCTTGGTCTCGGGGAGATACAGGTAGATGAAAATTGCTGATAAAGCAAGGATTGCCAAAAAGATGAGGAAGCAGAAGGGCCCAAGGTTATCCTGCAAGCAGAAATGGGAGACAATGTAAGGAAAATAAGAATTACATTTCTATTTCCCTGCCCTCAGGTGCAAGTCTGTGTCTTAGTAATTAAAATTCAAAGGTGTGCTCAATACACAAACCAGGATGGGTATCAGACCAAGGAGTTTCCACCAGCCAAGCTTGACCTGAGTCTGTCTGTTTCTGTCAGGCCTGGGGGATTACTGAGCAGGTTTGATATTTAAACAGAGCTCTCAGCTTTGCATGTCGTTGCAATTTATTACTACTATTTTGCTCCCTGTCAGCATTCACCTGGAGGGAGGGATCCAGTTAGAATCACTTACAACAATCAACGGAAAAATCATCCCAAGTACAAACAGTCCCATCCAGTTGATGCAGCCAACAATCAGAAAGGCTGATGGTCTGAATGACTGGCTGAAGATTTCAACCATGATAGATATAGTGGCTCCAGCTGAAAAAGAAAAGCAGAACACAAAACAGGTATACTTGTTTCATTGCTCTGGCCAAAGATCCTCGCAATGGCAGAGGTAGAAAATGGCACACAAGCAGAATAGGTGGCCTGCTGGCAGGTGGTCTCTGCTATGAAGGTGAAAGACTTTGATTCCAGAAAGGGACTTCCACTGTTCATTTCTGGTTTCAGCTGTTAATTTAGGTTTCTTTTGTACATACTGGAATCCTTTTTCTGGTGCCAGTGGGTCTGTGTAGTTCCTTATTGCCCTGGCAGTCATTATTATCACATGTAATTTATAAATCCATCTCCCCTTTGGCTCCACCTGAAGCATGTTGGTAGGCATAAAACTTAACTTGCTAAGTTAATGAAGATGATTAATATACCCGGCAATGCCTAGAATCCTTTCTTTTTAGCTGAGTATTTTAAAAATTGTTCTGAAAATTGTCTCCAACCCTCTGGAAAAGATAATACTGTATTTTAAGTTATTTAGATCCTGTGATCAGCAATAAAATTTGAGGTATTCTTTTTCTGTATCCCACTTGTACATTTTTTCCACAACTTTTTACCATGGGACTAGTCTGTTCTTCCTCTGCTAGTTGTGTCACCAACCAATATGATACAAAATTTCCTCCCAAAGTTGCCACTGATGTACTCACATGGTCCAATTCCATAGAAGATAACGAATAGGAAGATCAAGATAACACTGAGGTAATGCATCCAGAAAAACTGATGCTAAAAGTGAGAAATCAGTGATATCACACCATTAGATACATGACAGAATAGCAGAGCTCTGTATTTTCTGCCACTGATTCAAGCTTTTGTACATATCCTGTGAGGCAAGATGAGAAAGGTGGGCTGATGCTGAGTAAGTGGCCAGAAGGCTGCTGCCTCTTTACCTGCAGTGACAGGCTCATGGTAAGGAGCGCTAGCACAGAACACATCAGTGTGTATCCTCCCCAGAGCAGCACCTTCCTCCCAAATCGGTCTATAAGGGTGCTCTGAAAAGCAGAAAACACGGGCCCATAAATCCCAGTTCTCAAATGAAATAATTCCTCCCCTCTCCACGTGTTATTTGCAGCAGATTTATCTGAATAATAGCCAGAAATCTATATAATTTGAGAATCTCTTAATTCCTAAGGAATTTGATTAGCTTCTTCAAAGCATATTTGTTATTAATTATGCTGTGTTTATTAGACAGCCCTATGCTGTTGTTAGACAGTTCCCTTTCTTGTATGCTGCTATATATCAAATTGTGCACATGTGCATACACATATCTAATCCAGAACACATCTAATCCATCTAAATCAGAAAATTATTTCACAGGGTAAGATAAAAATAAGTCTAAAGACATACAGTTGTGCAAATAATCTGGGAAAAGAGCTGCTTTTTATCCTGCATGTGGTTTTGCAGAAGCAGGAAGATGTGTCTTAGGTTATGTAAATCTTCCCTGAGCCCAGTTATAAGTAGGGAAAAGTACAATTGTTGACCATATTAAATTTTTCCTTCAAACTCAAATCTGAAAAGACTTACACACAGTATAGAGGATAAGCATTCACACAACCCAACTCCCAGGGACACGTATGGAATAAGGTATTCTTCAAACTTGGCTGTGTGGAATACTTCAAACGAATAGAAGTATATCTGAAAAATGCAGAAAGGAAATGCACCTGTGAAAAAACTGTTGCAATTGTGATGCAGTTCTAAGCTGGTGCAATAACATTGACTTAGAGGGGCTGGTAAGG